GCAAATGACCCCTGTGTTTTCGTCCAATTAAATAAATAATGATCCCCAGTATTAGGTCTCGAATCCAAATGTTCTGTGGGCTCAAATGACAGCCACTGGGAGGCAAAAGGTCTCTCCTCCGTGGTCTGGCCTCTTATCTCCAGACCCTTGCTGTGGTTACCTTCGGGGACAGCCAACGTCCATTTCGCACCTTAAAGAAGTAACTGTGCCTCCCTGCACCGCGGTTTCCTAAGCTATAAAGCATCAAGTGACAGGATGATCTCTGAGGTCCCTTCACATTCTGACACCGTGTTTCTTTTCCACAGCGTTCCAGAGGGGGTGCTGTGAACAGTCACCAGGCCCACAGCGATCCCGGTCCTCTCAGCCAGTCTACGGGCCTCAGGAGACATGGCGAACGTTACCTAGCTGGGCTCTAGTAAACCACCCATCTGGAGAGGGGTTCTAGAGTCCACTCTCTCTTACCTCATACACGAGTGGCACGCTTCCCTCTCTTACTTCAGGAAGCGTGCAGTCTGCGAGCTCCCTTTGGTCTCTGCTCTATGTTCCTTAAGCAGGCCTTGGAGCCCATCACTTTAAAATGGTCTCTGGACATCGATGCCTGCCCCCCTCTAACAAAAGCACTGTCTTAGCATGCCCTCACGTCTGTGAAAGCCATGCTGGAACTCTGTGCCTGAGTACATGTTAGTCCTCAGAAGACTCATCAGCAGAACCATGACCAGAACAGGCCCGGGCTCACCAGCCTCCGGCTGTCTTCCATGAAAGTAACTGCTGGGTTCTCCCTTCGATTCCTGACGTGCTGCCCATCACCTCCCTACATCCTCATTATGCAATCTTGCCGTGTTTCACAGGGAAGTGAAGGAGTTTGCCACTTCAGATGCACAGGAGTCTGACACCTTTTCACATGGAACCACAGCGTACCGGTGTGTCTGTACTTGTTAGCTCTCAGATTCATCACACCCAGAGGGATTTCAGGAAGTCCTCTGGTCTATTCTTCTGTCTCCTGGCAGCACTAGTAAAACCACTCTAGATACTGGAAAGGCTGCTGGCTCCCTCTTTCTGAAAAATTCCCAGATGGGAAGATGCTTCTGTCTCTCCAGATTTCTCAAAAAATTCTTTGGAGCCAAAGTAAGAAAGGTCTGTTGCATGGTTTCTCTTTGGTTCTCACATATTAAATAAACTATCTTTTTAATTTAAATGAGGATAACGAATTTACTACAGAATTCATAAAGGCCATGGGGGGAAAATAACAGAAGAAATGGAGATGCCTATTTTGGAGAAGAACAAGCAGGGGGATATACTGATTATATTCAAATTAAAAGTTTAAGGGGAACAAACTGGTGGTAACCAGAGGGGAGGTGGCTGGGGGGATAGGGGGAAATAGGTGATGGGGATTAAGGAGTGCCGGTGTTTTATGGAAGTGTGGAATGACTGACTATATTATACACCTGAAAATAATATTACACTGTGTATTATCTAACTGGAATTTATTTTTTTTTTAAAGATTTTATTTATTTATTCATTTGAGAGAGAGAGAGAAAGAGAGAAACAGCATGAGAGGGGAGAGGGTCAGAGGGAGAAGCAGGCTCCCCGCCGAGCCGGGAGCCCGATGTGGGACTCGATCCCAGGACGCCGGGACCATGACCTGAGCCGAAGGCAGTCGCCCAACCAACTGAGCCACCCAGGCGCCCTATCTAACTGGAATTTAAATAAAAACTTTTAACAATTTAAATTAAACTAAAAGTGCCAAGATAAAATCTTACCTAGATGACCTCGTAAGGTCATTAAATCTACAACTCCAGAATGTAAACTCTTTGTAGGTGCACACAGAACATTTACCAAAATAGACCCTCCACTGGACCACAGAGTCTCAGTAAATTTCAAAACAATGAAGCCATATGGAGTATCTGACCACAGTAGAATCAAATCAGAAATCAATAAAAAAAGAGAAAACTTTAAAAACTGGCCGAAGTAAGCAATCTACTTTTATATAACTATGAGTCAAAGAAGATATTACAATGGAAATTAGAAAATATGTTAAACTTAAGGATAATAAAAATATGACAAATCAAGACTTGGGAATACACCTAAAGCAGTAATTCCCAAGAAATTTACAGCTTTAAATGCATCCATTGCAAAAATAAATAGTGAGATCAATGATCTAAACTATCACTTGAAAGACTAGGAAAATAACAGCAACTCAAACTCATGAAAGCAGAGGAGATAGCAACATTCGAGTAGAATGCTGAAGGATGAACAGCAATTACCAAGATAGATATAATCCTAACACACTGTGCTAAACACAACAAAGTAGCTCTGAGTTCCAACATAACTCCCCTAGGACATAAGTTTTTAACAGATTTATTTATTCACTTAATCAGTCGAGCCTGCTCCCAATTCCCGCATGAAATAATCCTAGGCTTTGGCATGAAGAAGAGGATTTGGGAACACCATTATCTTCTGTCTTCTGACTCAGCACAAAAGTGGGTACCCTCTCTAGAACAGAACTGTCCTCTGTGAAGAATGGAAGTAATAAACCCCCTTCCTCACGAACGGCGGCAGAATCTCGAGGGGAGTCATGAGGTTGACGGCAGCGGCAGCTGACTTGGCGTCTTGTGACGTGCACAGCACCCTGCCCACCAGAGAAAGTGCAGCTCCTGAGCGTTTTCCTTCTATGTGGGAGGCACGTGTAACTTTCTAATGTACATGTTAACCTAATGAAGTCAGTATCATTACTGCCATTTCATATAAGAATAAACTAATATCCCGAAGGATTAAATAACTTGTCCTTGCTCATTAACTGGTCAGTGAAAGAGCAGCACTTTGGACCTGGAGCTTTCCTAACTTTGTCCATTATATTAATTACTATGCAGGAAATAACTTTTACAAAATTACCCTAAAGCACCAATGGTAGGGATGCGTGAGAAACCTGTTTGTTATCCTTAGCATCAAGATAATTCCGTGAGAGACAACTGACAGGCTCATGGCTCTTAGTGCGAGTTTTATGAGCCTGTGGTCTCTGACAGGATAAACCGCCCCCCCGCGCAGACACTATAATGGAGACATACTGGGACCTCTATTCCAACTCTTCCACTCATTAGCTGTTTGACTATAGGCAAGTTATCTCACCTTGCTTCGTCTTAGTAAAGAATGAGAAAACAATAACCACCTTGCAGGTTTGGGAAAAGATCATAAGTAATGCCTGTAAACACCCAGAACATTCACTGGAACATGGAGGGTAGTTACGAAAGTTTTCCTTCCATGGCATCTTGAGAAGATCCCACTGAAGAGGGAGCACTCTATCCATCTTGGCTATATCGTCCTGAATGTTCCCTTTTTTCACTTCCTTTTTACCACAAAAATAAACACATAAGTATAGTCTGAAACCACTATATGCAACAGAGGAAATACTGGCAGAAAAACTGGGTTTTTTTGCCATGAGTTGGCTAGAGAAACAAGGAGGTAACTTGCTTTTTTAAAAAATGGGAATGGTAGTGTGCTAAAAATCATCCAATACTCTAAATGTGATCATGTAAAAGACATCTCTGTGAATGAGAATAAACCCAAAAAGATGATACATATTTTATTAGCCACTCTCACGAAAACCCAAAAAGATGATACATATTTTATTAGCCACTCTCATGCTCTTCGTGGCCAGTAACTATACAGGCCAAGGGTGTCACACGTCAGCCTCATTCACGACAATTTCTTTTCCACTCAAATGGAGCTATATTAAAACAAAACAAAACAACCCAAACAAACAAACCCACGAAAACTTGAGCTTTTAATTTTTGGTGGTGGTGATGGTTAGGGGGATTCCTATTTCTTCGCCTTAAAATCCACTTTTAGTTTAAGGGTTAGAAAATAAATTTCTCTCTCTCTCTCTTTTTTTTTTAAGATTATTTATTTGAGAGAGAGAGAGAGAGTAAGCAAGAGCACGGGGGGAGGGGCAAAGGGAGAGGGAGAGAATCTCCAGCAGGCTCCCCACCGAGCACGGAGCCCAACTTAGGGCTCAATCCCACGACCCTGAGATCATGACCTGAGCCGAAACCAAGAGTTGGATGCTCGACCAACTGAGCCACCCAGATGCCCCAGAAAATAAATTTCTATAGTAAATATAGAATATACAACACGTATTCACTTAATAAAATCTGAGTACCAGATGGCCTCATATAATACCATTTCATGATTTCTTAGAACCTCCGATTCAGCAAACTGAGTCAGCTAGAGAAGATGGCTGCCTCTGTCTGACGGGCCCGACGAGCGCAGGGGGCAGCTCTCACCGCTCTCCCCGTGCCGGCTGCGGCTAAGTGACGCATGCTCTCCGTTTTGCTTGGGTCCGATGCCGCCGGCACGCCCCCGCAGCCGCAAGCCTCTGCCCGCCGCCGTCATGCATCTCCCGCACATCCTCCCTGACAGAGCTCATCAATTCCCATTGCTTTTCACCGAGCCTTGGCTCTGGCACTTTCCCCTGGGGAGACCTTTACTGGTCTCCATACTTAACCCTTGAACCCAGCCTAATCCATCAGCCGCACTGAATGAACGGTGAGAGAGAATGTTTCTCCCTAAAGACAGGCAGCCAACCTCTCTACTTAAACCTCAGAAAGAAAGCCATCAACAGGGTCTGCTTTCTGTTTGTCAGCGTCGCCAGCATCTTCGCTTACTGACATTTTTATCGTTGCCGTGCCCAGCTGCTCGAGTCAGGGGAAGCCCTCTTCAAGGAGACATCAATTAAGTGCTCGTTACATGCTATTGATGCGCTTTTGAAAATATCCCCTGGGACTCTCCTTGGGAGTTCTCAAAACTAGTGGAGGGCACAGTTGTCATTCTGGAATAGGGTTTCCCCAAAGTTTTAAAGAACAGCTTCATAACCCACGCTCCTATGCACCGCTTTTAGGCTCTACTGGGATTTAGAAATTATGACTTTAGCGAATGAAATAGAATACTCTTCATCAGGAAAGACAAGCAACACTAGGCAAGAAATACCAAATATGTAAACAGACCGTCTGAAACCTCCTTACCTCATAACCAAACTGCAGCTCGTCAGAGGTCAGCATGATGATATCGTCATCGATAGCCAGGACAGCCTCCGTCTCGATTTCGTCATACGGGAAGAAACGGTTACTCAGCTTGTTTTCAGCAGTCCTCACAACTTTTAATGGAACCCGGATCTTGGGCCAGAGAGAATCTGGGGCGGGAAAAACAGGCATGTATTACTCTCCTAATTTCTGTGAGGAGATAAAGTGGTAAAAGCACCACATCACAAATGAGATGGCACTCACTTCCGCGGCTCCCATTAAAGCTACACGTACAACTGTTCAAGGGCGAGTTCTTACAAATGCGTGGTTATAAAAACTTCAAGTATTTCTATCCTCTCCAAGTCCTTGCGACACTTCTAATTCTCAATACTGTCTTAACCAGAATGTACAAATGGCTTCAACTCACAACTGAGAGACAGAGAAGCCAAAAGGACTTGCCCAAGATCACAAGAGGAGGGATGGAGTCTGCACTGTCTCATTCTCAGGCCCGTGGTTTAATATCAGAACTCTGCCACCTCCCCAGACTACCTTCAGTGAGGTACACCCCAGCTCAAGACATGCCTCTGCTCTGCTGGCAAATACAAAGCATGTGTTCTAGATGTTCGCCCCAGTGTGCCGACCTCCACCATGCAATCGCAAACAGATACCAAAGCTGCTCAAATCCACCCCGCAAAAACGGTTTCCCTGAACGACATGGGTTTCTTAACTTAGCACACTATCCCTTCGACAGCCCCTTCCGTCTGATTCACTGGGTTTGGTTTCTCATCATGAACAATTTACAGAGTAAATATCAAGTTTCTAGGTCCAATTTTGTGGGATTTTCTAGTATACTGAAGAAACACCAACCCATGACTTGCCTTACATTTTTTCCCATTCTACTTTGAAATGATTGAAGCAATTCAACCGCAGGTTCCTTATTTTAAAATGTTGCATTTAGCCCAGCATGAAATTAGTACCTCTTTGGTACAGTACCCTTATCCATAGACCTCAGGGTTCTTTACAGAGGGTACTTTGTTCTTCACACAACATTTGTCAAGTGACAACAGGAAAGCTAGGTATCAGACTGCTTCCAAAAAGCCCATCGTGTAATTGTGGAAAAATCTAGTTCGCGTGAATCTTGAAGCCCCAAATGCCTGTGGCCACTCCAAAGTCACCATACTGAAGAGAAGTATAGCAAGGGAGAGTCAGAAGGGAAAAGGCTGTCGGTACGGCCTGCAGATGAAATATCTTCCTTTTGTATATTGTACAGCGTGTCCGTGGGGCACACTGTTGGGACACCAGCAGGATCCTGGAAGAAGCCTGCGTAAGTGGAGGCCCTATAATTAAGGAAGACAGTCAGTCTTAAATAAACACAGAGCCTAAAAAATTGGTCAACTCCAAAAGAAGCATGTTTGGGAAGAAGGACTGAACTGAACACCGAAGAAATGATCCTAGGGGCCACTGCCTTTTAATCAATAACAGTAGTTAATTATAGTTTCATCCCTGGCTCAGAAGCACATAATCAATAAACAGCTTTGGAATAAGTGGATGGGCACAGGACTTGAGACAGTGAAGACCTGTGTCCCATGTTACTTACGGGGCGTCAGCAAGTCCCTCTCACTGTCTTCTAAGAATAAGCAGGGCGGGGGGGACACGTTTACTAAGCAACTAATATATGCCACACACTTTGTAGATGTAATGTTATCCAATCTTCCTGACAACCCCCTGGGGCAGAAATTACTCACAAAGCAGTAGTTACAAGGCTCAGGGAGATTACATAATTTGGCAGTATGTAAAATTACATAATTTTACAGAGCTCCTAAATGATAAGGCAAGTGATTGAATCTAAGTCTGTTTAGCATCAAAGACCAAACAGAACATGTACCATCTACTGCAGTATGAAAACCTCATGCTTCTCTAGATCTGGGACAAAATAATGAAGCTCAACATGTTCTCCAACAATCATCCTTATTCTCGTTGGCTTCCTACTCCCTCTTCCAGATTAAAAAAACCCTTGGCATAAATCTACTGTCCAAATCCTTATGAAACATGAATGTAAGATCTAAAATGCAAGAGGTTATAACTCCATCTACTAGACCACCAGTTCTCCAACTTTGTGGTGTCAGGATTTCTGTATGCTCTTAAAAATTGTTGAGAACCCCAAAGAAGCTTTCTGTGGGACACACACACGGTTTGTGTGAGAGATTAAAACTGAGGAAATTTTAAAACCAAAGAATACATAAGCACACATCCCACTAGCCATTTATCCCATGTCATGTAGCCTCTGGAAAACTCCTCTGTCCCCTTGTGAAAAACAAAGAGTGGGGAATGGAGGTGACTTGGTATTACTATGAAAATAATTTCAACCTCACAGACCCCCTGAAAGGTTCTCATGGATGTCCAGGGCTCCCTGGACCACATTTTGAAAGGCTTTGTGTTCAGATTTGGGTATCATAAGATGGGGAAAGTTCCAACAAGCTGGAAAAGACTCTGGGAGGCGTTCCAAGGACAGTACAGGCACTTGAATCCAGGATTTCCACCAAATGTTTAAAGAGACTAGCGGTGCCAGTTGTCAATGTATTGCCTCTCAGCTTCAATTTCACCCTTCACTGCCCTGTTTCTCATACTGGAACTAGATCCTGTGAACATTTCACCTCTGCCAACCAGCTTGATGTTAGGCTTTGTCGGTAGAGAGTGCTAGAGGGACACTTTGGAAGGAAGGGGGCTTTTCTTGCTGGTTCGCGCATACCTCTTTAACTTGTTGCTCCTTCCGTACTTGACCAGAAGATAGGCAGGCAGGGGCACTTCTCTCCCTCAAGCTTAAGTGGTACCCCCCACGACAGCTTTGCAACAGGTTCTGCAGACACTGCCAAGAGGAACTCAGCTGAGGTCCTCCCCATGGGTGGTTCCCAGGGAGCTCCACTGAAGCCCTCCATTTCCCAGCAAGTTCAAGAACACACCCCGGGTCACTTCCTGTTGAATTCTGTGCATACTGAAGGGGAACGGGAGGTTTCTTGTTTGCCAGACTTGGCCTGTGGCACCTCCGTAAACCTCACTGTGCAGTGGGCTACAGTCACATCCTGTCCAACAAGGCCTGAATCTCAGAGCTAGCTGGGGAAGGGGTTCTCCCAAATTTATTTCCTGCTATCTTTAAAGTTTTTACCCCTTAGTCACCAATCACCTATTACTAATCATTCTTTATAATAAACTTTTCCTGTTCAAGTTACGGTGTGGTTTCTGTCTCCTACCTAGGCCTTGACTAATACACAGGGCTATCAGGAGGGCTATCAGATGAAAGAGGAATTACTCTCTATGACCTCTAAAGTCAGAAGCATGACCAATGGCTGGGTGAAAAGTTACAGGCAACTAATTTAGACTCAAAATAGGTAAGACTCTTCTGATGGAGGGATGCCTGGCTGGCTCAGTCAGAGGAGCATGCGACTCTTAATCTCAGGATCATGAGTTCGAGCCCCACACTGGGTGTAGAAATAACTTAAAATAAATAAAGTGGGGCACCGGGGTGGCTCAGTCTGTCGAGCGTCTGACTCTTGGTTTTGGCTCAGGTCTTGACCTCAGGGTCATGGGATCAAGCCCCACCTTTGGCTCCGTGCTCAGCAGGGAGTCTGCTTAAGGATTCTCTCTCTCCCTCTCCCTCTGCCCCTCACCCCTGCTCGTGCGCATGCTCTCTCTCAAATAAATAAATCTTTAAAAATAAATAGATAAATAAATTTTAAAAAAGAATCTTCTGATGGAAAAACTGAGATAAAACGAAATAATGAAATGCCTTTAGCAATACAATGTGTGCTTTTACTTGAAATGTACTAACTTAGGTCAGATTTCTACTTGACATCATCTGAGAGACCAAACAAGATGCCTCTGAGGTCCAGGATTTCATGAGGCAGTCATATGACATAGAACAGTCTTTAGGAAGAGTTTTGAATCCCAGGTGTACTCCTTACTAGCCATGGGCTCTTGAACAAGTCAATCATTTTCAACCTGTTTCTTCAACTATGAAGACAGAATAATAACACTATCTTCCCATGGCTGACTGTGAGGTTGAACATGAATGCACTTAGCAGCATAACGCCTCGCACACGGGAGACATCCGCTAAATGTCAGCGGGGCCTTCCTTTGAACGTCTGTGTCTATTTACAGAATCAAAGGACTTCTTCCGAACCTTAGGGTTAAGGGAGGCAAAGTGGGACATGTTAGATCTGGCACATTACTCTGACGATCCAGCAGCATGCCCCCAGCTTGCACCTTCCATATTTACTTTTAGGTCAACAGGATCCCTACCAATAACCCTCTAGAATGGAGACAATGGAACACACAAATAAAACAAAAGAACACAGAACCTTTTTTTAATCTCACAAAGTAACAAACAGCTCCTCTTTTTGCAATATGTACAGAAAATAGGCTAGCCGCTTTGGTTAAGTATGAACATTCCTCTACCCTGGATGGGATTTGGATTTTCACTTGGCGAGTGGGTACAGCATGTTCCACCCACAGAGGGCTTTCCACATTCATCACCTATATATCCAAAGAATTACTTGAGACGATCAATATCCACAGACAACTAACTTGCCCTTGCCTTGTAAAGTCTTTGATGGAGAGGTTTTAGGGAATGATGAAGGCCAAAGAGGATGACATGGGGTGAAGATGGACATGGGATTGTCCTTCCCTGTTCTGAGTTAGGCCTGGGTAGCTGAAAGTCAGCCAGGGCAAAAGCAGTCTCCACCTCAACGGTCAGCTGTCTATGTACCATCGTCACCACAAGACAGGCCTCTAAAGAGAATTCCCAGTTTTTTGTTTTCACATTTTCAAATAAAATAGGACTCCAAGAAAGGGAACTACCATTCTCTCAGGCTTCAGCATTCCTTCTGTGGAGGGCAGAAATCAAAAATAAGCATTATAATTACTCCCTGCCCTAAAGCAGGTAGTTCTGATATGGGATGTTGACTGTTTAAAAAAATTAGGACAGAAGCATGAGGTGGGAAAGAAAAATATGGGTGAGAAAAAAGAACTTTTTTTCCCCCTTTCCATTAGTATTTTCAAAAGAACAGATTTACTTTCCTGTCTCTCTTTGAGTCCCTGACAAGGAAGAACCTAGTTCTTCTACATAATCCCAAATCAGAGAACAGACAAAGCATGATTTTCCTCCTGCTAAATGGCAATCTAAGTGGATACAGGGGGCCTTCGTGCAAGGGGCACGAGCTTTGGATCCCTGGAGACCTGTGTTCATTTCGGGCTCTGCCACTTGCAGTTTTGTGATTCAGGCAAATTACACAACTAATCTGAGCTTCAGTTTTATAAAATGGGAGTAAGAACAGCTTCCTTGCAGGTCTGTCAGAAGGACGAGATAATATATGTAAAGCACTTAACACAGTTCCTATTCCTGGGATTTAAAAGATATATAATACATGGCTATAAAAACATCGTATTATTTTCATCTTCATAAATGGGTTCTTGTAAAGTCTTACGGACCTCACTTCTCTCCTGACAGCCTGAAAAGGTGTAGACAGAAGGCTGTGAGGTAGCCCCTTACGATGCAGAAGGACACAATTCATAGCGAGAGAACTTTAGGCTCTAATTCCATTGCTAAGGCCAAATGGGTCTCTTTTTTCCTTACTCCTTCTAAATTCTAGTGAAACTCTAAATTCTAAATGAGTTCAAAGTAAAACAGCATGGCCTTGTACCTTATGTCTCATCCTGTGAACCTGTGGCTGGCAAAATAAAAATGTCACCTTCCATTCACACAAAGTAGTCTGAAAAACAGGAGTTTTTTAAACACATTGCTGAGTTTATGAAAAACAAACAGCTGAGCCAGGTGACCTGATAACTTCACAGTCAGGAACTTTAGTCTAGCTTGAAGGAGAAAAAGAACTCCTTGTGTTAAGGATTTTTTAAAAATGGGTATTGATTAACGGTTTTCTCCACGTTGGATGCCAAGAAAGATGTGAGCAAAGAGAATTTTTCCTCCAACTTGGCAAAGGTACTATAAAACGGTGAGGTTGACTAAAGATGACCCCAAGCCCATCCTGGCAATCACTGTCACAAACACAACCACAGATCAATAAAATAAATGGTCAGATTATCTCCATACCAACCTTGAGCTCACTTGAGGAATGCTCAGGCTGCTTGGTGTACAGCGGGTCCGCATGACCTTAATTCCCCACAGTTCCTGAATTCGGCTCGAAAGCAGGGAGTCTGTGGCTTCTACTTCTCTGTTGCCTCCTCTGGGATGACCGTCCTGACACACTCGGCCCGTCCCCTCCTGCCTGCTAACAACTATGAAAGTCACAATCTGAAGCCAGGGAGCTCCTGAGGTCAATTCAAATTTAACACTGAAATCAGCTAAACCAGAAGCCTGAGTTAAACCTATCTGAGCTATACAGTGTAATAGCTTCCTTCACAGGGAGGCCAGCGGCCAAGCCAAACAACCTCTATATCCATCAAGTTTGGAAATTGAAGAGTTGGGGAGGAGGAAGGCAGTGGCTTGCCTTTTTTTTTTTCTGAAAGAGCTCAAAACCAATGTGACGAAAGCTCACTGGAAATTTCTATTGCCTAGTCTAAGTATTTACTTAAACTTCAAACCCAGCAATTTAGACTTAAATGTAACCAAAAAGAAAAAAGTATTTGGTTGGAGAGTGAAAAAAAAGAAGGCGGGGGGGGGAGGGGGAGGATTTCTGCCTGCATTAACCCTCCCAGCAGCAGACACGTTCACCACAATATTTATTTTAGCAAATGTAGAGAAAGTGAAAAACATCACTTTTGCCTCTAATATTTCAAAGCCTTGGACTTACTTTTTTAAAAAATATATATACTACTAATGCCATACATACAGATTCAGGCGGCTTTGCTGGCATGAGGGCCAGAGCCGACAGCCCCATTTACCAACTGAACAAACACCCCACAGAGGTCTAAACATGGTTCATGCTCCCCCCAAACAACCACATCGCCAGAGCCTGAGCTGAGACCTCAAAACCACTGCTAGAAAAAAAAAGCTGGTTCAGTCTCTAAACGTGTCAAAACTGGGGCCTCGTCAGTTGAGGGCTCGCTTTCCTCCCTAGAGCCAAAATATTTCAAAAATAAACTAAGCTTCTGGTCATAGAATTAACCACTACATTTTAGCAGGGTCTACCAAAAACTAAACCTGAACATCCAGCTCCAAAACCGAGGTTCATGCTCGTGCCTCCTGTCACCCCAGTGTCAGCACTTTGACCAAGACAGCAGAAAACGATACCTTCCTTCTCACTGTCCTCGATGGTACCTGCCCCAAAGAAGTGACTCCAAGTCCCAATAAATCATTCACCTGAAGCCCAAAGCGGCTAGCCAGGGTTCATAAGGAAGGAGAGGAGTCTTTTGCATTGAGCTGTGCCTCTCTGGGCGGGTGGGGTGCTGACGGGCTCCCTCTGAAAGCTGGTGGCCTCTGGGCGTGGGAACAAATGCACGAGTGTGAATGCGGCGCCACGCAGTGGGCTACTCCAGATCCGAGGAGGGATACACGGCCTTCCTTCTCACAACGTGATTCATCCTTTTTAAGTGAGAGACTAACGAGCAGCGCCCAACCGTCCGATCCACTTCCCTCTGGGCAAGGCACCGGCCGTGGCCCTCTCCGTGGCACCTCTCCGTGGCCCTCCCCGCACAGCTCCTGTTTATTTATCTCTGCCCTTTCATTCCACCCCTTTCTTTCTCCTTTTCTGAGAGTCAAATAAATGAAACAAACAAACAGACAAAAATCCAGAGAACTAGACGTTGGGAGGAAAACAAACTTGGCATAAAGAGACAGTTAATAAGAAAAAGCACTGCTCTCTGGAGCATAAAACAAGGCCTTCGTTTAAAGTAGCCGTTTTGTTTACTTAAACTATGGCTCCCCTAAATAGAGAGAAAGCGTATGATCCTCTCAGAGAACAAAAATCTCACTAAGGAAGATTTCTTAAATGTCTCAAGAGGAACTAAAGAATTTTCTTGGGGCAAATTCTGCTTTGCCTAACAGACAGAAAACGTTCTTCTTCCAGCCCAGAGATCTACTACTGGCAGTTTCCGAGGCTGACTGTCCTGACTTCAGTATTACCAATTAAAAGGGAATAGTCCTAAAAAAGTGCAGATACTACTGTCAGGCAATAAACTAGCCCTTATCGGGGATAGTGGTGCACATGACAAACTTCAAACTCATTCCTTGCTCTAATCCATCAGAAACTTCCTGGCTTTAATAGGCTATAAAGGGCAGGAGCTTTGAAGTCCCTGGGATTAGGATCAGTAATAGACAGACTGAATGAGAAACTAAATGCAGGTGGAACATACTCTCTGCGTCTTGAATGAAACACAAATCCAATTAATCAAACAGTCCTCAACCCTCGCTGCCAGCGCCAGCCAGCAGCTTATGGGGGGGGCGGGGGCGCAAGGCAAGAGACAAAGCGATTACGAAGGAACCAATGGGAACCTGAGTGAGCGCTCACTTTAAGGAACTGATTCGAAGCCTGAAGAGGGCATGCTCTGCTGGCTTTCCCAACTGAAAGTGAAGCCATCCTTTTTTTTTTTTTCTTCCTGAAGAAAAGTGCAGTATCAGAGCCCAGATAAGGAAGGAGAAAACTAATGCCTTTTAAACTGAGTTTTCATGTAAACAAATCAGCTGTGATGGCTGAGGGAAGCTGAGATCTGTTTTCCCAAGGCTGCTGGCCTTTGATCCCACTGATTCCTAAGCTCCCAAACACTTGGGGCTATAGTGCATGCCATGGGCTTGGAGTTAAGTGGGCCACCCCAGAACAAGAATGAGATGACTGAGAAAACTGGGGTCATGCTGCCTCAGAAATGGCACTGTTGTTGACAAAGCAGGACAACTCATTTAAACCTAAGGACGCAAATAATCTGGCCATCCAAAATCGATCCAGCTGAGAGTTGCGCTAAAATCCAAACCAGGCCTTTCCTGAACACACCATTTTCCCACTCTTCTTACCTTCTGGAGGATTTTTATTCTGATTATTCCAGACAACTAGCAGCTTGGATAGACTGGGCACCTTGGACACCTCAGTGATGACCCGGAAGAGGCTCTCCACTCGGTCGTAGGTGAGGACGATGGCGGTGAAACCTTGTGACTGTGGTGGGATCAGCGGGAGGAAGAGTGGGTTGCTCACGCTGCTCCATTTCTGCAAGGCAACAGATTAATGTGGGTCAGCGAAGGATCTAGTAACAATGGGGCCGATCTCTTTTCCAACGTTGTCAATAAACTAGAACATGGGAGATTTGGTGACTTTCACCATGACCAACCCAAGAGCTAAAGCAACTATTCAAAGTCTTCCCTTCCCCAAAATTTGTATTGACTCTCTTTAATTAACTTGAGCTGTGAAGGCCACTGAAACAGGAGCAGAGAATTTTTGTAAGTGAGAAGAGATTTCTAGTTAAACAGAGCAGATTAAACACGTACACTGATCTCCATTCTCTCCTCAAGCCCACTCGAGTGACAGTAGATACAAAACACAAATGGACAATGACAGTGAAATGAGAGAAGACACCACAGTGGATGAGCAGTATCAACAGGCTTCAGAAACACTGGGAGGGACCAGAGAAGTGCGGGAGCGGGAGAATGAGGGAGAAAGCTAAGTAACCACACAGAGGGGGCCAACAAAGCCAACAAGTCCAAACCACAGAACCCCACAAAGGCTTGGAAATAAGCTCAGCGAGAATCCTATGGGGTAAGAGGAGGGGCAGGGTTGAAAACAGGAAGACTGGTTAAAAATATGTATAAGGAGCAAAGAGACCCAGATCTACAAACCTCCCCTTCATTCAGCCAGTCAGCCAGAAAACTCCTCTTGTTGTCCACCCCTGCAGGACGGAGGTCTATTCTCCGGGGAACTGAAGCTCTAGGCGTGGAAACATCGCCACAGCAGAGAGGAAAATGCAGGGCAAAGTCTATACTGGGAATGATGAGCCACCCAGCCTTCTTCCCCTCCAAGTCCCCAAACACTGGCAGCCATGTGGCTAGCTTGCCCCTCTGCCATCTGACTGTGACGCCCTCCGGGCAGGAGGCTTGCCCTCACACCCAGAGCTGCTTTCCAACCAGGTTTTCAGTGCTTCCCTGGTAATCATGAACAGATCCTAGAATCACAGACATTTCAAGAACATCGTCAGCATAATGACAGAAACCAAACGAACAAATAGAAAAGCAGGAACTCAGACGAAACAGAGACAACAGAAGCAGCAGAAGGAAATTAAAACAACATCAACAACAAATTATATCCTCAGGAAGAGAATTCTTCATCCATGAAATAAGAATAAACTTTTTATTTAAAAAGATCTATCAAAGAACAGGAAAGAACTCTTGGACATAAAAAATAGGATAGCTTAACTTTAAAAAAAAAAAAAAAAAAGCAGGATTAAAAGAAAAAGGTAACATATTCCAGTCTAGTGAACAAAAAGGTAAAGATGAAAAACAGCTCAGAAAAGATGACAAAATCCAAGAGGTCCAACATCCACCTAATAGGAGGTTCCTGAAAAAGAAAACAGAATATAGAAGAAACAAGACTATCAAAGAAATTAAATAAATTCTTGGGACATAAGATAGAAGAGACATGAATTTTCAGATGGAAAGGGCCCAATAAGTAATTCGCACACTGAATCTGAAAAAAAAAAAAAAAAGGCAAAAAGCAAAATAAAATAAAACCTATCAAAGCACATCACTTCTGACACTGGGAATAAAGAGTGTGAATATATAAAATGCATAAATCCAGGCGATGAGTTCTAGGCGTGAGTTCACGGTACGTTCTTGCAACTTCTAAGTTCGAAATTTTCTCAAAATCGGGTTTAAAAAGTCATGAAGGAAATTCCATTTCTTTGCTACCGTTAAAATATTAAGTAAATTCCAATGCAGTGATACAAGCAAAAATATTTTTGTACTGATAATAAGATTGTTAAAACATTTTTATATTTTTAAACAGCTTTTTTGAGATACAATGCATATAATATACAAACTACTCACTTAAAGCAGAAAATGGTTTTGGGTATATTACGTAAATTTTTTAAAACTGTGGTAAAATATAACATGAAACCTGCATTCTAGCCACTTTTAAGTATACACTTCAGTGGCATTAACTACCTGCACGTTTGTATGTTATTACGTGAAAAGGCCAGGACCGAACTTCGTCTCTCCAGAAGCTGGCTGGACATGAAATGTCCCACTGCTCTTCTGGCCGCTCACCCTCCCATCCTCTGGTAGTCCCAGGGCCCCCACCAGCCTCACCCTTATCACTGATGGACACCCATCACCACGGAGAGGACAGCAGCTGTCTGCCAGATGTAACAGTGTGGGACAGGAAATGTACACAAACACATGGAATACACATGGGATGGGAACTCAAAGAGACTGAATGGGATTCCAGGAGTCCTAATGTAATCAGGATATTAAAGCCAAAATGTCCACAACAGGCCATAATTAGATTTCACAGCCAGGAGACACAATAAGAAAGGCTGACTCTGTTTTTCCATGACCTCACGCTTTGACTTTAAGTTGCAGTCTCAGGAACGTACCTAGATTTTAGCACTGGTACCCTAGCAGCTCATCACATTGGTAGGAACCCCTTTTAGTTTTCTACCTCAAAGCTTATTTATATCTTCCTGACCTTTACGGAAACGAGGTCAATAAGTAGCCCTGTGTTTCAGTCAGTTAATCCCGAAGGTGCTCGTTCTCTCCGCCATTACCATCCCAGCCCACCCATTTACTCCTCCCAACACAGTACTCTCTTATGCTTGAAAACACCACTTTAAATGAAAAAGACACAAAAACAGAGTTTTTGAGGTACTGTAATGTGTGTGAAAGCTTTACTGAGCACTTACTAAGTGTCAGGCACCAGGCTGTACATGTAATATCTCTTCTGAGCCTTACAACAACTCCCAGGCCAAATACAGTTATCCTTGTTTTACAGATGATCAAACCGTAGGGTTAAAAATAGTAAATGATGCCTAATAATTTGCTTTATCAGTCAAAAAAAGAAAGGAAGAAAGGAAGAATGAATGATGTTATGATGTTCAAGGTCTGGCTTCCGAACACCGGATGGTGGAGGCCCATGGCCCATCCTCACGCCCTCTGACTCTGAGTCCGAGGTACGCATCATCATTTTATAGACTCTGGAAACTGGAGCTGTGGGGAACGCCAGAGTTTATTACTTCTAACCCTTCTCTGAGACAAAAACGCTGGAAGTTCTTTACCCTTCACAATCACATGTGGGCCATATAATAAGCAAGAGCCCGCCCCAAACACTATGATTTCAGAAGGTACACGGACTAAAACACACCGAATATATAACACTGACACAAAGGAAACACATAAATTAAAAAAGGTAAATACACCTCTAACACTGAAGGAAAAACTATTAAAACTCCAACAAAATGGGGTCTGTTCTTGGGGAGAAGTGGGGAATGCCAACACACTTGAACGCCTGTATGACATTAAAAGGAGAGGAAAGTTCCCTGAGAGATGCGAAGCTTGGTTTTGGAAAACGAATCCCTCGGAATTTAAACGGAGGCACCCCCTGAAGGGCATCACAGCTCTGATTTCAAGGCACTGCCAGGAGAAGGAACCAGAGTCTCTGGCAAGATGACCGATCTGTTCTCATCCCGTTTGCCAGCTCCATTCGGGAAGCGGATGACTGTGGAAGGGGAGGAGGAGAGGTAGGAATGGGTGGGTGGGAAGCAGACAGTAACTTGTCTTGGTGCTCAGTTTTTCCACACTACTCACTTGCATACCAGATAGGTCGTGAAAATTGGGGAAGCAGAAAAGGCAGCATGAAGGGGAGACAGAGCAGGCAAAAGAGCATAACCAGGTCTGAAATCTTACCAACACTTCCCCATAAAATACAGATGTTGAGATGAACACAGACGTAACACAGAAGCTGCTGAGCAGCTATTTACTAGGACACAGGCTTGGTGCTTTACTGTAGGATATGCCGACAGGGTTGGGGCAAATGACTTCAAAAAGTGAGTGGACATGTTCGGGGTCAGTTTGGGAATCATGTCTCCTTAACATGAATCCAGCTCTTTCACTTACCAGCTGTGTGACCTGGGCAAAGTACTAAACCTCTCTTGCACCTCAGTTTCCGTAATTGTGATAATACTACTACTTTAGCAGGTATGAGAAATAAAAATGATAGTAACAATGTCTAATAATGTTGATTATTAACATTTCTTAATTATTATTTCTTAACAACCAGAGATTGTTACTAAAAGTAAACAGTTGACATATGTAAAGTACCTCACACTACAAACATTCAATAAATGGTAGCCAATGGCTGATCTTGTGGGAGTAATCACTGCTCTGGGCTCTACCTTCCACGGTTCCTACAAGTGGGGTGGCAATCCAGCAACAAGTCTAAATGAAATCCTTCTTCCTCTCTACGTTGACCTTATCATGATTTAAGGTCCTAGTTTATCTGGATTCTCTACCTCTACTTCCTCTCCAAATAGACTGTTTTTATTTTCACAATTTCCTCTTTTCCTTCCTGATCTTTGTATTTTATCTTGAAAGTTCCATGAAAGCAAGAGCCACAACTGTCCAAACAGCTAGCACCTAGCCAGCGCCTAGCACTACTCAATAAAAACCTGGTTTAAAAGTGAGTAAGTTAAATCCAAATGACCCAGGTCATGTTCTTTCTGTCCTCTTTCTGTATGTACATGAACAGGTGATGCACACTCAAATACTTCATGAGTTCTGAACACAATTGCCAACTGAGTTCATTCATTTTAAAGCACTTACCTAGAATCTTAGTGTGCTAACTATTCTGAAGGGCAGGATGGGAATATTTAACAGAAGAGAGTTTGAATTTAGGCCCTGCCATGTACTAGTTTTGTGATGCGTAAAGCTACTTCTGTATTAATGTCCTCATCTGTAAAATGGGAACCATGATGGTACCTGTCTCCTAAGGGGATGATGACAAAATGAGATCCAGCACAAAAGCAATGAGCACTCAGCACAGAGCTCCATGAACTACAGTTTAAACCAAACACAAAAACGTCCAGCTCTCCCCATTCGTATCCTCCTTGCCTGACAAAACACCGGTATCAGCAATTCTTCAGCAATCATCCCTACCAATCGTGCTTCTGGTGCTCATTTACTCAGTCTGCATTTCCTGAGCACATACTATTCGCCTGAAAGAGT